CCGACTATATCCTATAGCTGCCATATAACTGAACGATTGGAAATGTCATAACTTAGGTGTTTTTAAAGTTAGGAAGTTGGGATTTTTAATGAGTATTAAGAATGCATCATATGAATAATTTTGGAGAATATAATTTACAGAGTATTCTGCAAGGGTATATCAACTTCGGCTCTGCCCAAAGTTAGCTTTCCTTTCTTGTTCAATTTAACGTTGATCAAATTTTTGACCCATTTTCATGTCAGTTATTTTTAGTTTTCCGAGGACTTGTAACAGAGTGACTCAAAATTGGACTTAGAGAGTCCATAACTTTATCAAACTTAAGCCGATTCCAAAGTGGCATACCTCTAAAGACTTCTGATTCGATTCTCTAAAAATCTGCATTCAAATTTTTCAATTTAACTTTGATCAAATTTTTCACCCATTTTCATGTCAGTTATTTCTAATTTGACTTGTTTAACTTTGACCCAAAATAGGACTTAGAGAGTCCATAACTTAACTAAACTTAAGCCGATTCCAAAGTGGCATACCTCTAAAGACTTCTGATTCGATTCTCTAAAAATCTGCATTCAAATTTTTCAATTTAACGTCGATTAATATTTTGACCCATTTTCATGTCAGTTATTTCTAGATTTCCGAGGACTTGTAACAGAGTGACTAAAAATTGGACTTAGAGAGTCCATAACTTTACCAAACTTAAGCCGTTTCCAAAGTGGCATACCTCTAAAGACTTCTGATTCGATTCTCTAAAAATCTGCATTCAAATTTTTATACCCTTGCAGAGGGTATTATAATTTTGGTCAAAAGTGTGCAACGCAGTGAAGGAGACATCTCCGACCCTATAAAGTATATATATTCTTGATCAGGATCACCTCCTGAGTTGATATAGCCATGTCCGTCTGTCCGTCTGTCCGTCTGTCTGTCCGTCTGTCTGTCCGTCTGTCTGTCCGTCTGTCTGTCCGTCTGTCTGTTTCTACGCGAACTAGTCTCTCAGTTTTAAAGATATCGAATTGAAACTTTACACACACCCTTCTTTCCTTTGCACGCAGTATATAAGTCGGAACGGCCGGGATCGGCCGACTATATCCTATAGCTGCCATATAACTGAACGATCGGAAATGCCATAACTTTGGTGTTTGTAAAGTTAGGAAGTTGGGATTTTCTATGGGTTTTGTATTTGGCTAATCAATCCGACATGCCGAGTTTCATAAGGATCGGCCGACTATATCCTATAGCTTCCATATAACCGATTGATCGGAAATGCCATAACTTTGGTGTTTGTAAAGTTAGAATGTTGGTATGGGTTTTATATTTGGCTAATCAATCCGAAATGCCGAATTTCATAAGGATCGGCCGACTATATCCTATAGCTGCCATATAACTGAACGATTGGAAATGTCATAACTTAGGTGTTTTTAAAGTTAGGAAGTTGGGATTTTTTATGAGTATTAAGAATGCATCATATGAATAATTTTGGAGAATATAATTTACAGAGTATTCTGCAAGGGTATATCAACTTCGGCTCTGCCCAAAGTTAGCTTTCCTTTCTTGTTTTAAAGTAAGAAAGTTGTGATTTTTTATGAGTATGAATAATTTTGGAGAATATAATTTACAGAGTATTCTGCAAGGGTATATCAACTTCGGCTTCGCTCGAAGTTAGCTTTCCTTTCTTGTTATACCCTTGCAGAGGGTATTATAATTTTGGTCAGAAGTGTGCAACGCAGTGAAGGAGACATCTCCGACCCTATAAAGTATATATATTCTTGATCAGGATCACCTCCTGAGTTGATATAGCCATGTCCGTCTGTCCGTCTGTTTGTCCGTCTGTCTGTCCGTCTGTCTGTCCGTCTGTCTGTTTCTACGCAAACTAGTCTCTCAGTTTTAAAGCTATCGAACTGAAACTTTGCACACACCCTTCTTTCCTTTGCACGCAGTATATAAGTCGGAACGGACGGGATCGGCCGACTATATCCTATAGCTGCCATATAACTGATTGATCGGAAATGCCATAACTTTGGTGTTTGTAAAGTAAGGAAGCTGGGACTTCCTATGGGTTTTATATTTGGCCAATCAATCCGACCTACCAAATTTCATAAGGATCGGCCGACTATATCCTATAGCTGCCATATAACTGAACGATTGGAAATGCCATAACTTTGGTGTTTGCAAAGCTAGGAAGCTGGGACTTCCTATGGGTTTTAGATTTGACCAATCAATCCGACCTACCGAATTTCATAAGGATCGGCCGACTATATCCTTTAGCTGCCATATAACTGATTGATCGGAAATGTCATAACTTTGGTGTTTGTTAAGTTAGGAAGTTGGGATTTTCTATGGGCTTTATTTTTGGCCAATCAATTCGGCCTATCAAATTTCATAAGGATCGGCCGACTATATCCTATAGCTGCCATATAACTGAACGATTGGAAATGCCATAACTTTGGTTTTTTTAAAGTAAGAAAGTTGTGATTTTTTATGAGTATTAAAAATGCATCATATGAATAATTTTGGAGAATATAATTTACAGAGTATTCTGCAAGGGTATATCAACTTCGGCTTCGCTCGAAGTTAGCTTTCCTTTCTTGTTCAATTTAACTTTGATCAAATTTTTCACCCATTTTCATGTCAGTTATTTCTAATTTGACTTGTTTAACTTTGACCCAAAATTGAACTTCGAGAGTCCATAACTTTACCAAGCTAAAGCCGATTGCAAAGTGGCATACCTCTAAAGACTGCTGATTCGATTCTCTAAAAATCTGCATTCAAAATTTTCAATTTAACGTCGATTAATATTTTGACCCATTTTCATGTCAGTTATTTCTAGATTTCCGAGGACTTGTAACAGAGTGACTAAAAATTGGATATAGAGATTCCATAACTTTACCAAACTTAAGCCGTTTCCAAAGTAGCATACCTCTAAAGACTTCTGATTCGATTCTCTAAAAATCTGCATTCAAATTTTTCAATTTAACGTTGATCAAATCTGCATTCAAATTTTTCAATTTAACTTTGATCAAATTTTTCACCCATTTTCATGTCAGTTATTTCTAATTTGACTTGTTTAACTTTGACCCAAAATTGAACTTCGAGAGTCCATAACTTTACCAAGCTAAGGCCGATTGCAAAGTGGCATACCTCTAAAGACTTCTGATTCGATTCTCTACAAATCTGCATTCAAATTTTTCAATTTAACGTCGATTAATATTTTGACCCATTTTCATGTCAGTTATTTCTAGATTTCCGAGGACTTGTAACAGAGTGACTAAAAATTGGACTTAGAGAGTCCATAACTTTACCAAACTTAAGCCGTTTCCAAAGTGGCATACCTCTAAAGACTTCTGATTCGATTCTCTAAAAATCTGCATTCAAATTTTTATACCCTTGCAGAGGGTATTATAATTTTGGTCAAAAGTGTGCAACGCAGTGAAGGAGACATCTCCGACCCTATAAAGTATATATATTCTTGATCAGGATCACCTCCTGAGTTGATATAGCCATGTCCGTCTGTCCGTCTGTCTGTCCTTCTGTCTGTCCGTCTGTCTGTTTCTACGCAAACTAGTCTCTCAGTTTTAAAGCTATCGAATTGAAACTTTGCACATACCCTTCTTTCCTTTGCACGCAGTATATATGTCGGAACGGCCGGGATCGGCCGACTATATCCTATAGCTGCCATATAACTGATTGATCGGAAATGCCATATCTTTGGTGTTTGTAAAGTTAGAATGTTGGGATTTTCTAAGGGTTTTATATTTGGCTAATCAATCCGACATGCCGAATTTCATAAGGATCGGCCGACTATATCCTATAGCTGCCATATAACTGATTGATCGGAAATGCCATAACTTTGGTGTTTGTAAAGTTAGAATGTTGGGTTTTTCTATGGGTTTTATATTTGGCTTATCAATCCGACATGCCGAATTTCATAAAGATCGGCCGACTATATCCTATAGCTGCCATATAACTGAACGATTGGAAATGTCATAACTTTGGTGTTTTTAATGTCAGTTATTTCTAACTTGACTTGTTTAACTTTGACCCAAAATTGAACTTCGAGAGTCCATAACTTTACGAAGCTAAAGCCGATTGCAAAGTGGCATACCTCTAAAGACTTCTGATTCGATTCTCTAAAAATCTGCATTCAAATTTTTCAATTTAACGTCGATTAACTTTTTGACCCATTTTCATGTCAGTTATTTCTAGATTTCCGAGGACTAGTAACAGAGTGACTAAAAATTGGACTTACAGAGTCCATAACTTTACCAAACTTAAGCCGTTTCCAAAGTGGCATACCTCTAAAGACTTCTGATTCGATTCGTTAAAAATCTGCATTCAAATTTTTCAATTTAACGTTGATCAAATTTTTGACCCATTTTCATGTCAGTTATTTCTAATTTGACTTGTTTAACTTTGACCCAAAATTGAACTTCGAGAGTCCATAAATTTACCAAACTTAAGCCGATTCCAAAGTGGCATACCTCTAAAGACTTCTGATTCGATTCTCTAAAAATCTGCATTCAAATTTTTCAATTTAACGTCGATTAATATTTTGACCCATTTTCATGTCAGTTATTTTTAGTTTTTCTAGGATAAGAAAAAGAGAGACAAAAAAAATAATTAAAAAAAAAAAAAATTTATTAAAAAAAAAACCCATAAAACAACCAATAAAACCAAAAAATAACTTTTTATTTTTATAAAAAAATTTCATTTATTTTTTTTTTTCTATAAAAAAATTTTTTTTTTTTTAATTAAATGTAAAAAAAAAAAAAAGAAAACCCCCCCCCCATAAAAAATTTATTTTTTTAATTAAGAACCCCCCCACAAAAAAAAAAATCTACTCTCCTCCCCCCCTTCCCCTCTTTCCTCCCCTTTTTTCTTTTTCTTATTCACCAAAATTACAATTTTAATTTTAAAAAAAAAAAAAAAAACTTATTCTTTTCCTTTTTTTACTTATAATAGTTTTATTTTATTTTTTTTGTTGGGATTCAAAAAAAATATTCAGATAAGATTTAAATAAACAGTTGATGTGTTCGCTTTGGTTGTTCCAAACGGAATAATTTTATTGTGGCTTGAGATTCAAATCAAACCTCCGCCAAAGAATTTTATGTGTTTTACAATTATGTATGTGTGTGTAAGTAAATGCTAACAAAGTATTTTCTAGAGCTCTGCTGAGTGGGTGTCGTTTAGCAACATCCTGCCTTGTGCTGATGTTGCATTTCTTATGTGGGACAACGAACGGCTAGCTGCCGGTCACTGTCCAGTTGAAAGAGGGTAGCACGGGGAGGTTTAGGCGGTGGCGTAGTCGATGGTACCGGTATGGTAACTCCTCCCCCCTAGAATGGAGCGATGGCCACATCTGTGGTATATCCAGAGCGACATTGTGCAGAGAAGCATTGGGGGTGAAGATTGTTTTTGTTTTTCTAATTCTCCATATTACCAGTACTGTTATCGTTAGAAGCACCAACATACCGTATATTACAGAAAAATGTGTTTCCTGTACTTTTCCTATGTACACTACTTTTTTGAGGTTTCTCATATCTTCGAGATGTAACACTTCTAGGTTTAACTCCTGTTTGGTGTTATTTATAAGTATCTGTTTACTTATTGCAGTGGTAAGTACTATATGGTCCTCTTTATGTTCCATAACTTGGCCATCATACTTTATGCCATTTATTTCGATCGAACAGTTTGCATATTTGATTGCTAATGCCCCCGATACTGTAATATCTTCTCCACACGTGTTGTTTACAGGTAAGTTCAAGGCGTTGAAAATGAATATGTGTCCATCCTCAGGTGCCAAAACCATTTCTCTCCCCTCTAGATTTACTGAATCGCATATTGGTGGTTTGTTCGTTAAAATCTTCCTCAAGCACTCCTTTCCTTTTATCTCAACACCCAACTCTTCACTCTCGCAAATAAAAGTTTCATGAACTTTTGAACATTGGTTGTTAAAAAAGCTTATTTTATACTTATTAATTGCTACATAATTTGGTATTACTAATAAATGTGTCCCATTAATTGGAATTGGTATAACATGATATAATTGATAGACATTTGGCTCAAAAATTGGAGCTCTTACCCTAAATATTATGTCTGTTTCATTTATTTGTGCCTGTATATTTATTAGTTCATATACTTGTTCATTTGAAACAATTTTGAGCCCTTGACTCTCGACAAACCGTATAATTCTATCTAATTCTGTCTCTGCTAAAATGAATTTAGGCACAATGCGAAGTTTTGCTAATAATATGCTCTCCGCAATATTGTTCAAGTGCACTGCTAACAAATCAATACTGTAACTTATCCTATTCAAATGCTGGAGCATATGTATTTCATTGTGCTCTTGTGTTAGTTCCTTAAATACGTTATTCTTATAATTTTTTATAAACAAATTTATATCTTCCTGCTCCTTATTTATGTGCTTAGTAATTTTCGTAAACCTACTCAAGGTTTCCTGATAAAAGGTTCTTTGCTCGTCCGCTTCTTGTGTAAGAAACCTTGTTTCGTTTCTTAATTCTTTTAATCTATTTCCTATTTTCTCCTCATCATACGCGTCCATATTTCCCGAAACTATTTTTATCATGCTTCCTAACCCATTAAAAATTCCTCTTTTGACCCTACTTCTTGGTCTAAGTATTTCTAGCTTCTCCTTCACCTGGTACAATTTTTCCTTAACCACCTGGACTGCCTCACCTGAGAATCTAACATTCTCTATGTCTAACAACGCGTTTTCAATCTGTGCAATATTACCTTCGTAGTCTTTAAAGTTTATTATATGGTCGAACGTCTTCGCTCCGACCATTACTCTTGCTTTTCCCAGTTCCATTTTTACGATCGCTTCTTCTCGTTTTAGTGTTTGCACGTCCATTGTCTGTCCATGGACCAATATGCACCTGTAACCGTGATTGATTAGTTTTTATTTTGTTTAATTCTTTTTTTAATTTTGGATTTATGTATCTTTTGTTTCCTTTTTGTAACGAATGTAACCCCATTATCCTCATCTACTGTGTGCTCCGTAAACCTAGGTGTTAGCTTATTTCTTCTATTCTCCTTCCTATGAACTACATCCCCTTTTGCCAACTCCATGGGTTCTTCTCTTCCCTCATTGAGTTTTCGCGTCCTTTCCTGTTTTATTTTTTCCAACCTCCTTATACATTTCCTCCTGATAAGCATTTAACTTCCTTAAGTACTCATGCTTCGTATCAAAATTGATTTCCCGTTCAAAAACGTGTGTTCTCCCCGAGAACAATTCGAACGGCTTCAACTTCGTACTGGAGTGTATTGAGTTATTATAAGTTAGCAAAAATTCATCTAAAACTTCCTCATGCTCATTTTCTAGTTTTAAGTCCTTCCTTGTTTTCATAATTATTCTATAAATTTCTGTCAGTGTTGAATGAAGCCTTTCAACCGGTGAATTGCTGGACGATTGTTGAAACGACGTCACATGCAATTCAATTCCGTACTGCCTACAGAAATCCCTGAATAATGCCGAGGCATACTCTGCGCCTTGGTCACATATGATCTTTTTAGGAACACCGTACTGACTTATGAACTTCTTCATTGATTTAACAATATTTAAACTATCTCTTGCCGGTATGGTGTACCCCACGGCAAACCTTGAAAACTTGTCTATTATTGTTATTACGTAGTTTTTGTTGATTGTGTATAAATCCGTATGAACGATGTCAAGTGGCTTGCACGGGGTTTCCGTATTTTGAAATACCACCTTTTGCGGTTGCCGATCATATTTCAATGTCTGGCAAGTTTCACACGCATTAATGACCTGTGTTACTCGGTTTTTCATAAATGGAAAATAAATGTCACGTCTCATCTTCCAAAACGTTTCATCTATTCCCCTATGATTACCTGAGGTATGATACCTTTCTATTTCTTTTCTTTGTTCACTAATATCTGTTATTTCCCGCATGAAGGTAAGACATCGTACTGCTTTATACAGTTTGCTCTTGCAAAAATAATTCTGAAACGCTTCTTCTACCTTTTTAAAGACTTCATCTGACGTGTATATCGCACACATCCTGTATGGTTTAAGCACTTCCCTAAGAATTTTTGCAATTTCCTCTTTTGTGAACTCCTTTTCTGTTATCGTCCTTCTTATCTTGTTCCTAAAAGGTGTCACCACTGTTCTGCCTGGTGTCGGCCCAACCTCAAATATTAACTGGATATTAAAGTCATTCAGTGGCTTTTCTGCCACATGAATGCTACTTAATTCCAGTTCACCTGTATGACCCGCACAAGTGGCCTGAGTTGACTCCAGTTCACTGTTGTGAACTTGTAGTTCGATTCTGCTCAATGCGTCTGCCACGACGTTTTGTGAGCCCTTTTTGTAGGTCACCTCGTAGTCGTATTCCAATAGTTGCAGCTTCCACCTCACCAACTTAGAATTGGGTTCTTTAAATCCCATTAGCCAAGTTAGTGGGCGGTGATCTGTGACTATTGTGAATTTGTGACCGAACAAGTACGGTCTGAAGTGATTTATACCCCAAACTATGGCAAGCATTTCCTTCTCTACTGTGGAATAATTTACTTCAGCCTCATTTAACGTTCTGCTCGCAAATGCGATTGGGCGATCGCTTCCCATTGCTCCTTGAGATAACACCGCACCAATAGCAAAATTGCTAGCATCTGTGGTCAAAATAAAAGGTTTAGAAAAATCTGGATATCTCAACAATGGATCATTGCATAATAACGTCTTGCAATATTCAAAGGTTTTTGTATATTCCTCATCTATGATTATTTGTTGTTTCCCTTTTAGTCTCTTAGTTAATGGTTTGGTTATTTTTGCAAAATCTTTAATGAATTTCCTGTAATACCCAATGAGTCCAAGAAATGACTTTATTTCCTTTGGTGTTTTGGGCAAGGGAAAAAGCTTTATGGCCTCAATCTTCTTTGGGTTTGGTCTGACTCCTTCTTGTGTCACTACATGCCCTAAATACTCTATCTCCTTCTTTAAAAATTCTGACTTATCTGTTTGAAGTTTAAAATTTGCTCCACTTATTCTTTTAAAAACTGTCCTCAAGTCTTGCATGTGACTTTGTAAGGACGGGGAATACACAATTATATCATCCATGTAGACCAGACAAATCTTGCCTACCAACTCTCCCATCAGGTTATTCATCACTCTTTGAAACGTCGCCGGAGCATTTGTCAGTCCAAATGGCATCCTTACATATTCAAAGTGCCCGTTATCTGTTGTAAATGCTGTTTTTGGAATGTCCTGTTTTTCCATCTCAATCTGATGGTACCCGCTAGCCAAATCTAATACCGAGAAATACATGGCCTTTCCCAGTTTATCAAGTACTTCGCCAATTACTGGCATCGGATACCTATCCTTCACTGTCTTCTCATTCAACTTCCTAAAATCGACCACCAATCTCCACTTTTGTTTTCCTGATAGGTCCATCTTCTTTGGTACTAGCCAAACTGGTGCACTCCAAGGTGAGTGACTGTGCCTAATAACTTCCTGTTTTAACAACTCCTGTATCTGATTCTTCATTTCTTCCCTTTGTTTAAATCCATATCTGTATGGCTTTTTATAGATAGGAATATCATCCGTTGTTGGAATTGAGTGAGTTACCGCATTGGTAAATGTCAATTGATTTCCCTTTGTGTGAAAAATACTTGGAAATTCCGAATACAGTTTTTTAAGGCTTGCCGCCTCTTCTGTATTTAGATGCGACATATCCAATTTTGCATGCCTTGCATCACCCCCGGCTAATTCCATTGTGTTCATTTCCCTGCTTACATACTCCTGTTTAAATGGTCTTAGCATTTCGATTTCTACATAATCTTTGGAATCATATGCAGTGACAGCCAAAGGCTTTTCCAGGTATAATTTCTTTTCTTTTCCTGTGAAATTAACAACTTCCAGGTCGTCCTGTCCCTTCCTTGCATAATAAATTCCGCCAGTTATTTCTAACCCTTCTTCCACTAGTGTTGTTTGCATCAAAAATGAACCATTGTTTATTGAAACTGGTAAGGTGACAATTGTTTTAGTCGCCTCCTCCAGGAAATGTATGTCAGTGGCCCTATTGGGCTTCAAATGGACTTTAACTGTCCCTGTCTTAGTTCTTAATACGAGATTTTCTAAATCTAAACTTGCACCTAACCTAATTAATATGTCCATTCCCAATAATCCATCAAACCAGGAATGAAAATGAAATAAAAAGAAATCAAACGATTCCCCTTTTGCGATTTCCTGCAGCTCAATATCTTTTACATAACTGTTTATTTTATGGCTGCCTATTGGTGTTTTAATAACAAAGTTTTCTTCCAATTTTTGCTGTTGATCTTTACTATTTATTGCGGGATTTAAATATGAATTCGTAGCTCCCGAGTCTATTAATAATTTTAGTTCTTTTTCGTTCTTTCCTTTAACTACCACGTATGGTAATGTCGCCTGATGGGTATCCTTCCTTATATACGCTGTTTGTTTTTGGAGGCATTTTGACGAAAATTTCCTTCGTCATCAATGTTATTCAACTCTTGCTCCTCTTCTCTTTCTACTGTATTTAATTGCCCTGACTGCCATCGTTTGGCACTTCTAGGTCCAGTTGATGAATATTCTGCAATTTCTTGTTTTGGCATAATTGCCCTTCTATTATACCCTGAAGAATTAGAGGTCGACTGATCGTCATATCCTCTATTCCTGTTTTCTTCCCTATTCCACCTGAGGTTCCTATTATTTCCTCCTTGTTGCCTATATCCTCCATTATCTCTGTTAAAGTTATTATTGTACCCTCTGTTTCTATTATAACCAAAGTTCTGCCTGTTATATCCCCCTGCAGTACTGAAATTATTGTTCCTGGGTACCTCTTTAGACCGGTAATAAATGTCTCTCTCTTTAATCGCTATCTCGTATGCTTCCAAAAGCGTCTTCGGAACTCTTCCCCTGACGGCACTACCTAAATTGCCTTTTAGACCTGTTACAAACGCCTCCAGACACGTTTCCTCATATAATTTCTTCTTTGCCTGAATTGCGATGGGGTTTGTATCTGTCCTGTCTATAACATTACACAATGCCTTATGCACATCAGATACCTCCGAGTAAAATAATTCTACTGTTAGTCTTTTATTTTCCAACTGGTTTAATTCCCTCAGTAAATCGGGTTCTGACCTCTTATCTGCAAAATGGGCTATCAAAATTCTTTTAATTTCATCCCAATTTAATCCACAATTTGATTTTACTAAAATGTCATCGGCTTTTCCTTGGATTTTATTCCTTATTTGCCTAAGGATCATTAGTCCCATAGGTGTTTGATCCATTCCTCTAATCATTAAAAGGATCTCTTCTGCGTTTAACATAAACTCGTTTAACCTTTCTTTTTCTCCCATATAAACATGCATTGACCGGATCACATCGGAAATTTTTACCGTGCCTAACATCTCAAACGTTGCCTGTTGCATTCCTAAATTTTCCTGATGCGTCATTGTATCAGCTTCCCTGTTCTGTACTGCTCTAGAAGTTGAGGGCTCAAAATTTAATTGTTCCACTATCGTTGGCAAACTGGTAGCCTTTTTGATAACTTTACTTCTAGTCAGAGGCCTAAGTGACTCTTTAACTTTGCTGATTTTTGACATTTACAATTCTCTTTTGTTTACTCTTTAAATTATTATTATTTTTTTTTTTGCCTACGCTTATTATATATTTTATGTGTATATTGTATATTTATACTTATGTATATATTGTATGTATATATTGTATATATGTATTTCCTTAGCTTTTTCCTGATGTGTCTTTAATAATTCCTTTTCCTTAGAAGTGAGGTGTGTGTCGGTGTCTTTTATCTGTAAAATTTTGTTATTATCATTTGTTCAATTTGTTTTATAATTTTTTTTTGAGAATGTATTGTGTTGGAAGTGTTGTGTATGTTTTTTTTGTTACTTTTCTTTACATACCCTTCTATACCCTTGCGCGATGCAGTGGTATCGGGTTCCTTTATATTTTTTCTAACATATATGTACATATATTATTTTTATATATTTTTTTCTATTATTATTGCTTAACCGTCACCCTTGCGCGATGCAGTGGTTTCCGATATGGCAACAATTTCTTCTTGTTTGTGTTATGATTTATTCCCTTTTTTATTTAACCTTGAGATTCACCAAATACCCTTGCGCGATGCAGTGGTCTTTGGGATTTCCCTGTCTGTTTACTTTTTCTGTGATGTTGTCCATCGGTTACCCTTGCGCGATGCAGTGGTACTAATGGCAACAACTAATAAAATTTTTTGTTTCCACACTTTCTTTTTGCACCGTGCTGAAGCTAACTGGAATTCCTGCGCGATGCATTTATTCTAGCCACGAGCGGACAGTCACTTGCAATAGATATTTTCTTTTTATTATTATTATTTGTTTTTTTTTTTTCATTTATTGACAGGCAGAGTATCCAACCAGCGACCTGGGTTTCTTTCTCCAAGCTGCATATTTGATGTTCGCGTCCAACATCGAACCTTCGAACTTCATACCCGCAACTCACTCCGTCGAACTATATGGTTCGATGACGTTGCAGGTCGCCAGGTTGCGTTGCAACGAGATTTACAGTCAACACATTATTTAATTAAATTTATTCTTGCTAATTTTCTTTGTTGTTGTTTCATTTTATGCCTTTCAATTTTATCGTTATTATGTATGTGCACCCTTTCTTGTTTTTATTTACACCACACACCTCACTTCCATCACATCACTATTTTAACTTACTGTTGCATATAAATTATAAAAATAATCGTTTTCATCATTTCGGTCCTTCTCAGTTCTCCGGGTATGGTGTGTCCTTTTTCTCCTTCCGGCTGATAGGTCCGGCTGCGCCAGTTATAGTATGTAATTGTTAGTGCTGCTGTTAGTCATCCAATATTCAGATAAGATTTAAATAAACAGTTGATGTGTTCGCTTTGGTTGTTCCAAACGGAATAATTTTATTGTGGCTTGAGATTCAAATCAAACCTCCGCCAAAGAATTTTATGTGTTTTACAATTATGTATGTGTGTGTAAGTAAATGCTAACAAAGTATTTTCTAGAGCTCTGCTGAGTGGGTGTCGTTTAGCAACATCCTGCCTTGTGCTGATGTTGCATTTCTTATGTGGGACAACGAACGGCTAGCTGCCGGTCGCTGTCCAGTTGAAAGAGGGTAGCACGGGGAGGTTTAGGCGGTGGCGTAGCACTATAGCTGCCATATAACTGATTGATCGGAAATGCCATATCTTTGGTGTTTGTAAAGTTAGAATGTTGGGATTTTCTAAGGGTTTTATATTTGGCTAATCAATCCGACATGCCGAATTTCATAAGGATCGGCCGACTATATCCTATAGCTGCCATATAACTGATTGATCGGAAATGCCATAACTTTGGTGTTTGTAAAGTTAGAATGTTGGGATTTTCTCTGGGTTTTATATTTGGCTAATCAATCCGACATGCCGAATTTCATAAGGATCGGCCGACTATATCCTATAGCTGCCATATAACTGAACGATTGGAAATGTCATAACTTTGGTGTTTTTAATGTCAGTTACTTCTAACTTGACTTGTTTAACTTTGACCCAAAATTGAACTTCGAGAGTCCATAACTTTACGAAGCTAAAGCCGATTGCAAAGTGGCATACCTCTAAAGACTTCTGATTCGATTCTCTAAAAATCTGCATTCAAATTTTTATACCCGTTACTCGTAGAGTAAAAGGGTATATTGTATTCGTGCAAAAGTATGTAACAGCTAGAAGGAAGCGTTTCCGACCCTATAAAGTATATATATTCTTGATCAGGATCACTAGCCGAGTCGATCTAGCCATGTCCGTCTGTCCGTCTGTCTGTCCGTCTGTCTGTCTGTCCGTATGAACGCTGAGATCTCGGAAACTATAAAAGCTAGAAGATTGGCATTTTGCATGTAGATTTTAGAAGTTCCTACGCAGCGCAAGTTTGTTTCAAAATGGTGCCACGCCCCCTTTAACGCCCACAATCGCTTATATACGATTTTAAAAATTTAAATATTTCGGAAAAGTAAAAATGCAGTTTTATTGTGTTTATCAATACCTATCGAAATGTAGAAGAAATTTTTCAAATCGGACCATTCGTTAAAAAGTTATGGGTGATCAAAGTTTCTATCTCCATCTCCCTCACACTCCCTTTACGTGAGTAACGGGTTTCTGATAGTCGTGGCTCCCGACTATAGCGTTCTCTCTTGTTCAATTTAACGTCGATTAACTTTTTGACCCATTTTCATGTCAGTTATTTCTAGATTTCCGAGGACTTGTAACAGAGTGACTAAAAATTGGACTTAGAGAGTCCATAACTTTACCAAACTTAAGCCGTTTCCAAAGTGGCATACCTCTAAAGACTTCTGATTCGATTCTCTAAAAATCTGCATTCAAATTTTTATACCCTTGCAGAGGGTATTATAATTTTGGTCAAAAGTGTGCAACGCAGTGAAGGAGACATCTCCGACCATATAAAGTATATATATTCTTGATCAGGATCACCTCCTGAGTTGATATAGCCATGTCCGTCTGTCCGTCTGTCCGTCTGTCCGTCTGTCCGTCTGTCTGTCCGTCTGTCCGTCTGTCTGTTTCTACGCGAACTAGTCTCTCAGTTTTAAAGATATCGAATTCAAACTTTGCACACACCCTTCTTTCCTTTGCACGCAGTATATAAGTCGGAACGGCCGGGATCGGCCGGCTATATCCTATAGCTGCCATATAACTGATTGATCGGAAATGCCATAACTTTGGTGTTTGTCAAGTTAGGAAGTTGGGATTTTCTATGGGTTTTATATTTGGCCAATCAATCCGACATACCAAATTTCATAAGGATCGGCCGACTATATCCTATAGCTGCCATATAACTGATTGATCGGAAATGCCATAACTTTGGTGTTTGTAAAGTTAGGAAGTTGGGATTTTCTATGGGTGTTATATTTGGCCAGCCAATCCGACCTACCAAATTTCATAAGGATCGGCCGACTATATCCTATAGCTGCCATATAACTGAACGATTGGAAATGCCATAACTTTGGTGTTTTTAAAGTTAGGAAGTTGGGATTTTTTATGAGTATTAAGAATGCATCATATGAATAATTTTGGAGAATATAATTTACAGAGTATTCTGCAAGGGTATATCAACTTCGGCTCCGCCCGAAGTTAGCTTTCCTTTCTTGTTCAATTTAACGTTGATCAAATTTTTGACCCATTTTCATGTCAGTTATTATACCCTTGCAGAGGGTATTATAATTTTGGTCAAAAGTGTGCAACGCAGTGAAGGAGACATCTCCGACCCTATAAAGTATATATATTCTTGATCAGGATCACCTCCTGAGTTGATATAGCCATGTCCGTCTGTTTGTCTGTCTGTCCGTCTGTCTGTCCGTCTGTCTGTTTCTACGCAAACTAGTCTCTCAGTTTTAAAGATATGGAATTGAAACTTTGTACACACCCTTCTTTCCTTTGCACGCAGTATATAAGTCGGAACGGCCTGGATCGGCCAACTATATCCTATAGCTGCCATATAACTGATTGATCGGAAATGCCATAACTTTGGTGTTTCTTAAGTTAGGAAGTTGGGATTTTCTATGGGTTTTTTTTTTGGCCAATCAATCCGACCTACCAAATTACATAACTATATCCTATAGATGTCATATAACTGATTGATCGGAAATGCCATATCTTTGATGTTTGTTAAGTTAGGAAGTTGGGATTTTCTATGGGTTTTATTTTTGGCTAATCAATCCGACCTACCAAATTTCATAAGGATCGGCCGACTATATCTTATAGCTGCCATATAACTGAACGATTGGAAATGACATAACTTTGGTGTTTTTAAAGTTAGGAAGTTGGGACATTTTATGAGTATTAAGAATACATCATATGAATAATTTTGGACAATATAATTTATAAAATATTCTGCAAGGGTATATCAACTTCGGCTCCGCCCGAAGTTAGCTTTCCTTTCTTGTTATACCCTTGCAGAGGGTATTATAATTTTGGTCAAAAGTGTGCAACGCAGTGAAGGAGACATCTCCGACCCTATAAAGTATATATATTCTTGATCAGGATCACCTCCTGAGTTGATATAGCCATGTCCGTCTGTCCGTCTGTCTGTTTCTACGCAAACGAGTCTCTCAGTTTTAAAGCTATCGAATTGAAACTTTGCACATACCCTTCTTTCCTTTGCACGCAGTATATATGTCGGAACGGCCGGGATCGGCCGACTATATCCTATAGCTGCCATAGAACTGATTGATCGGAAATGCCATATCTTTGGTGTTTGTAAAGTTAGAATGTTGGGGTTTTCTAAGGGTTTTATATTTGGCTAATCAATCCGACATGCCGAATTTCATAAGGATCGGCCAACTATATCCTATAGCTGCCATATAACTGATTGATCGGAAATGCCATAACTTTGGTGTTTGTTAAGTTAGGAAGTTGGGATTTTCTATGGGTTTTTTTTTTGGCCAATCAATCCGACCTACCAAATTTCATAAGGATCGGCCGACTATATCCTATAGATGTCATATAACTGATTGATCGGAAATGCCATATCTTTGATGTTTGTTAAGTTAGGAAGTTGGGATTTTCTATGGGTTTTATTTTTGGCTAATCAATCCGACCTACCAAATTTCATAAGGATCGGCCGACTATATCTTATAGCTGCCATATAACTGAACGATTGGAAATGACATAACTTTGGTGTTTTTAAAGTTAGGAAGTTGGGACATTTTATGAGTATTAAGAATACATCATATGAATAATTTTGGACAATATAATTTATAAAATATTCTGCAAGGGTATATCAACTTCGGCTCCGCCCGAAGTTAGCTTTCCTTTCTTGTTATACCCTTGCAGAGGGTATTATAATTTTGGTCAAAAGTGTGCAACGCAGTGAAGGAGACATCTCCGACCCTATAAAGTATATATATTCTTGATCAGGATCACCTCCTGAGTTGATATAGCCATGTCCGTCTGTCTGTTTCTACGCAAACTAGTCTCTCAGTTTTAAAGCTATCGAATTGAAACTTTGCACATACCCTTCTTTCCTTTGCACGCAGTATATATGTCGGAACGGCCGGGATCGGCCGACTATATCCTATAGCTGCCATATAACTGATTGATCGGAAATGCCATATCTTTGGTGTTTGTAAAGTTAGAATGTTGGGGTTTTCTAAGGGTTTTATATTTGGCTAATCAATCCGACATGCCGAATTTCATAAGGATCGGCCGACTATATCCTATAGCTGCCATATAACTGATTGATCGGAAATGCCATAACTTTGAAGTTTGTAAAGTTAGAATGTTGGGATTTTCTCTGGGTTTTATATTTGGCTAATCAATCCGACATGCCGAATTTCATAAGGATCGGCCGACTATATCCTATAGCTGCCATATAACTGAACGATTGGAAATGTCATAACTTTGGTGTTTTTAATGTCAGTTACTTCTAACTTGACTTGTTTAACTTTGACCCAAAATTGAACTTCGAGAGTCCATAACTTTACGAAGCTAAAGCCGATTGCAAAGTGGCATACCTCTAAAGACTTCTGATTCGATTCTCTAAAAATCTGCATTCAAATTTTTATACCCGTTACTCGTAGAGTAAAAGGGTATATTGTATTCGTGCAAAAGTATGTAACAGCTAGAAGGAAGCGTTTCCGACCCTATAAAGTATATATATTCTTGATCAGGATCACTAGCCGAGTCGATCTAGCCATGTCCGTCTGTCCGTCTGTCTGTCCGTCTGTCTGTCTGTCTGTCTGTCTGTCCGTATGAACGCTGAGATCTCGGAAACTATAAAAGCTAGAAGATTGGCATTTTGCATGTAGATTTTAGAAGTTCCTACGCAGCGCAAGTTTGTTTCAAAATGGTGCCACGCCCCCTTTAACGCCCACAATCGCTTATATACGATTTTAAAAATTTAAATATTTCGGAAAAGTAAAAATGCAGTTTTATTGTGTTTATCAATACCTATCGAAATGTAGAAGAAATTTTTCAAATCGGACCATTCGTTAAAAAGTTATGGGTGATCAAAGTTTCTATCTCCATCTCCCTCACACTCCCTTTACGTGAGTAACGGGTATCTGATAGTCGTGGCTCCCGACTATAGCGTTCTCTCTTGTTCAATTTAACGTCGATTAACTTTTTGACCCATTTTCATGT